GGGTACCTTCCAACACAATGATGAGGATTTGGTTTTTAATTGCATGACTTTTAAAGAAAGTTACAAACATGGGTGGAAGTCTGATATGCTCTTTGGTTAATACTTAGTTATAGTTGTCAATTACGAATTCACATGTAATCACAAAAAAAAAAAAAGATAATCAGTTTTTGTAACATGCTGGAAGGAAAGAACTCAAACTAACGCTACAACCCTGAGAGACTTGAGCCTGTTCTTTGTTTGGAGAGTTATTAATCTTGATATTCTTGTTTTCTAAAGTTGTTGCATGATCACATTATTTCTTTGCTTGGTTGCTACTTAGAATGCTTTTTGATCTCTTTAGTTCCAAATACTAGAACTCATGCCCGTTCCATTCAAAGCATCAAATTGATTGCGTAACAAATAACAAGATGAAGTTGTTTAGTTACCATTAGAGCCAAAAAGCCTTATCCCTTGCATATGCATTGTAGGTTTAATCCTTTTGAAGCCTTATTTAGCTTATTTTCTTTGTTAGCTTGCATTATCCCTACCTAGCCTAGTATAAGAATATCCATACCCTTGTTCTTAAAGAATAGTCAAGCATGCCTTGTGGGGAATTCTTTTTGTTTTACGATTTGAAAAAAAAAAAAAAAAAAACAAATGTGGGGGAAGGATTTGTTCCTTTGGAGTAGTGTTGTCCAAACAAAAAAACACAAAAACAAAGAACAAAAAAAAGAGACAAAAAAAAAAATGAAGGGTCAGATATTTGAATCTGACCCTAAAGTTGTATAAATCTCCCCTTTGTGCTAAAAATTGGGTGCTGCAATCTGTGGGGGACTTTTTCTTCCTGCAGCTAATGGGCTGGGCTGCTGTAAAAAGGTGGATTGAGGAGACTGTACCCTTTTGCCTAGGTTCGAAAATTAAGCCCCAAAATACCTCGAAAGGGTAGCAAAACCTTAGGAGATATTTTGGCTATCTTCACCGATCAAAATAATGGTGACTTACAGATAATTTTGGCATGCTTTCAGATAGTCTTTTAGCTCATCATGACTGGCATGTGGCATGGGAGCAAAACCAACATAAGTTTAGCACTAAGAGAGAGGTTAGGCTTGGTTTATGAGAAAAGAAAGTATTAAGGTAAGGAATGAGGTGTTTTGTGAGGAAGTTTGACTGGGGAAAGAGGAAAAAGAAAGACCGAATTCTTCTGGCAATTGCCAGAAAAAAAAATTGGGGAAGAAGATGAACAGTGCACGAGGTAGTTAGATTTTTGCAAGTTAGAAAGAAAGCTTGCTCCCTGAATTTTTTTGAGTTGCCTCTATTGGGTAGGGGAAGCCTCAATTTATAGCTGCTGGAAATCACCATTCTTCAAGAAACCCTAATGGCTTCTACTTATTTTGGCTAAGCTTTTTCCTCCTTTCTCCTCCTCTTCTCTGACTTCCCTTTCTTGGCAAAAATTACCTCTGTTTATTTGCTCGAATTCAGGAAATTTGGGAGTTCAATGTCCCCCTTTCCCGCAGCTGCGTAGTGAGAGCTTCCCTTCTTGGTTACTGTTTTTTCTTCTTTCCCTCCCCCTGCCTTGGCTGAATCTGATGAAGGAAAGGAAGTGAAAATATATGCTGGTCCAAGGGGTGCTTTTGATAGGGTGCAGGCCAGCATTCCTCGGTTCTTTAGGCGTCTTTGGCTTGGAACTTGCTCCCAGCAACTTTGCTTGATGAGTCTGCCAACCTCCGTATTTTTTGGGTCTCAACATTAGCCCCCTTAATTATAAGGGCCATGAACAGGTGCTGGAATGGGCCGAGTAATTAAACCCAACCCAAAAAATCAAATTTGTATTTGTGGAGAACTCTTCCTTTTCCCGCGTGCAAAATGACGGCGTGCCATGATTGGTCCCAGCGGTTATTTGCAGTTTCCCAACGCCAACTGCCTTCCTATTCTTTTTATTATTATTTTTCCTCCTTTGTTTCTCTTTTCTCGCACCAGGCACAAACTTCTTCCTTTTCCTTTCTTTTTTACGCTCCAGACCCAAAACTTCTCTCCAACTATCTTTCTTGTGTTCTCTTTTGCTCTTCCACGAAGTCAGACCAAGTGAGAAAGTGCAATCGGGTAGAAATCACCCATCTCCAGCTGCTGGGAAGAAAGCCCCCAGTCCGACTCAGACTCAACCTCGTCGTCCCTGCTTCGTTCAAAGAAAATCCATTTGCTGATGCTAGAAAGGTTTTCTTTTGTGCGGGTTTTGCCTTCAAATCCCCAATTTTCTCCTCTTCTTGGTGCATCCAAGGCCATCCTTTGGAAGATTTAACAAGGTACCCCCTTTTCTCTAGTTTTTCCCTTAGATTGATTGGAGAATTTGTTGGGTTTCTCATACCCATGGGTGTTGCTTTTTCGTTTTGGGCAGCCAAATACCAAATCCCTTTTTTTTTACCCATCTTTTTACTGCTGCAACAAGAATGCGCACGGACTGGGTACTAGCAAGGAAGAGCCCGTGCCATTGTCTAAGCTTCTTTCTTCGTTAATTTTGCTCAAGCTACTGTAAAGGTACCCTAATTTTTGTTGGCTTGGTTTTCTCCCTTTTTCCTTTTTCTTTACCTTTATCTTGCACAGGCTTCGTCTTTGTATGTGAAAAGGCTAATCTTGGCATGATATGCTTTCTCTTTTATTTATTTCTGTGCAGGTATATACGTCTCAGGCATAGGTGAGGGTAGGTGCTGGAAACCCTTGACGTTTCTGCTGCTGGAACCTTCGAATTTCTCAGT